ACACACACACACACACACACACACACACACACACACACACACACACAAAAATCTGCCACCCCCAAAGGGGTAAAAACATTTTATTTTGTCTTTCAAAAAATCGAAAAAAGCTAATACCAGCTAAAAAAACAACCTAAAATACCATAAATCTACCATATTAAAAAAATGATTTAAAAACAAAAATATAAAAAGTTAGCCCACTCCTCATGTGGCACACGAAGTCCTTCTGGCTACCCCAAACCGCAAACCAGTGGGCTGGGGAGGGAGGGAAGCTATTAAACACCAAAGGTTATAGCAAGTAAACTCCTCCAAAGTGGGTGTGCTTGTCCTTGCCTGCTCCAAAGCCTTGTAGTAAAAACATTTCACTAAAATCCTGTATATAAAATAAATTAAATAATAAAACCAAAGTACTGTTTAATGGGCAATGTGTATATATTAATTCCTAACAAAAAATGTTTTAAAAAAATAAGTGTTAGCAACCCACTAGTAAACAAATGTAAATGTAATGTAAGTACTGTGTTTACCAATCATCACATTTACTGTTTGCCACAACCAAAAAAGTCTCAGCTTTGCCCAGTTAAAAAAAAAAAAAGCTAGGTAAAACCCATAAAGCTGTAAAGGCCACTTTAAATTTAAAAAAGGCCAAGTGTAAAAAAATCGTCATTAACAACATCCAAAAATGGCAAAAACAAGGTAATGTTGCAAAAATTGGGGAAGGCAGCTCACATCCTAAACGTTAAGTGGGTGGGTCCGTACTCCATTGTAAATCGCATCTCCCCAGTAGTGTATTAGCTTCAGCTACCCCGTAAATCAAAATGGGTGCATGCCAATTAGCTCAAAACATATGTTTCTCCCTCGGTTTCTGGTCATGGCGTCATGGGCCTCTCTTGTAAACCAGCCACCTGCCTGGACCATCCGTTTTTCCAACTGTCCATAAAATTATCTAAATAATCATAATTATAAAAAAAAAAAAAAAAACCTCAAAAGCCCTCCCCAAACAAAAAAAGAAAAAAGGGCCAAAAAAAAAAAGAGGAAAAAAAAAAAAAAAAAAAAAAAAAAGGTGCTTAAAAATAATGTATAGTCCAGATAGACACAGCAGGGTCATAGCAAAATACCTGGTGGGTGGCCCCAAACCTCCCCTAAACCGCATAAAAACAAACCCTGTTCCTCATGTGGTGGCCTAAAGCAAAATAAAAAGCCTTTTAACAAGCAATAATCCCTAAACGCAATATTATTGTTTTAACCTCCTCACAACAAAATGTTAATTCGGAGTCAAGGGGGAAAATGTCACAACCCAATGGCTCCCTCCCTCAGGGGATCCCCTGGAAAGGCAAATCAGCATTGTATGTTGCTAACGCTGTTGCAAGCATCTCAAGGCATTTCAAAAAGGGTTAAAGGTGTAAGTGTAAAGTAAAAAATTCCTTTGCAGGTTGCAAAAGGCCAAAAAAAAAAAATCGGTTTAACACAAAGCCTCAGCTCAGTCCAAAGATAAGATGCGGGCTCCAGTCCAAGGTCACGGCGCTCAAACAATCTCTATGCAGCCAAAAAACCTGCAGCCACTTCTGCATCTTACCCAACCCCAGCCAACTGTAAAAAAAGGGGGGTCAGCTGGGCAAAACTGCAAAAAATTGCAAAACTCGCGAAACAATAAAGGCCAGCAAAAAAAAAAAAAAATTTGCGTTGTGTCCCTAAAGCCGGTGTGTTTTAAAAAAGCTAAAATAACCACAAAAAGCCGGTTTAAACTAGTACAAAAAGCACAAAAAACAAAGGTCCCTAAACAAAACGGCCCCCAAAAAACTCAAAGCTTTAAAGCCCTCCCAAAAGTAAAAGCAAGTCAAAAATCAACAGCAAACCCTAAACGGCCTGTGCACAAAACAGAACTGTCATCCACCGTTCCCCCTCTTCTTCTTACGTTACACCCAGGCTTGGCCAGCCGTGGGTTGTGCATGTGTAAGTATAAAAGCGGATTAGGGCATGGACACTAACGCTTTTTTCCTTCCTCTAAGTAACGTAAAAAGCCCCCAACACTCACTGCTGTTATTTTAATAATAAAGCTTTAAAACTTAAATCCTTGCTCCTTCATCTCCTCCCCTAACAATCCTGCCTAATCACCTAACGCCTCAGGCAAATTAATAACAAAAATCTGTCACAATACCACCAAACGTTTTCTGAAAGGCCTCAACAACATTTACCCCGAAATCCTCACTCCCACTCCACCTTGGGACCTCAACTTAGTTCTCCAGGGCATCACCAGACACCCGTTCGAACCATTAGCCACTTGCTCACTTCTCCACCTGTCAATGAAGGTGGCCTTTCTAGTTGCCATTACATGTGCAAGACAAATGAAGGAGCTAGGAGACCTCATGACAGTATTTTCCGAAGATAAAATCACTCTCAGACCACATCCCAAGTTTTTACCTAAAGGTCGCCTCTTTGTTCCATCTCAACCAGCCCATCTACTTACCAACATTCTATCCTAAGCCACATAAGGATAGACGAGAATCCACGCTCCACACCCTGGATGTTCGCAGGGCCCTGGCTTTTAACCTAGATAGAACAAGGTAATTCTGCAGGTCCCCAAAATTATTTGTTTCAATCATGGAATGATCAAAAGGAGACACCATTTCCAAACAGAGGCTCTCCAAATGGATTTCAAAATGCATCAAACTGTGTTACCAGCAACAGAACCTGCAGCCCCCTATGGGGATTCATGCACATTCCACCAGGTCAATGTTGACTTTGATAGCTTTTCTGAACAGTGTTCCCATCGCGGACATATGTAGAACTGCAATCTGGGCCTCTGCCCATACATTTACACAGCATGCAACATCTGATGCATTATTCAGACTCATCCCGTATTATCCTCTGCCATGACTTCAACTCCGAAGCCCCTCCTTTCCCTTGGAGGGCACTGCTCTGAAGTCACCTAAAGTGGAGCACCCAGAGGGACATCACTCAAAGAAGAAGAGAGGGTTATTCACCTTGTACAGTAACTGAGGCTCTTCGAGATGTGTGTCCCTGTGGGTGCTCCACTACCCTTCCTTCTCCCCTCTACTTTGGAGTTTCACTCTATGCTCTGCAATAGAGAAGGAATGGGGGAGGGAGGGAGCGGAGGGAAGCGTGTCGCACAGTGCCAGTTAACCGCCTGAGGCAGCGCAAGACTGGGACTGTGCATGTGCGACCCAACCAGGCACTGCTACCAAAAATCTCCGATTACAAGCGCTGGGTGCTCAACACCTAAAGTGGAGCACTCACAGGGACACACATCTCAAAGAACCTCAGTTACTGCACAAGGTGAGTAACACTCTTTCATTAAATCTATGCTAAAAACAGAAATATTCAGAATCTGATAATGAAGTTTGTTCGGGAACAGTCTCTAAAAGAAAAAGTATAGTTATTTTATATGTGTATGTTATCATCCTGGCTTTCAGAACATGGTCTTCTTTTGTGCATGTTAAGTATTCTGACATGTGCGTGCATGCATGCAATCATATTTGAAAAGTGCACCGATGTATGTTTGTGCATGCAAAGATGATTTTGTATCAGATGAGGCTGTCTTGTTACCCTCTGTCTGAAGTTAAAATGTAATTTTATGGGACAGGGTTTTGTATTTTCTCTGTACTGGGAGGGACCTAGTGTGCTTTTGGTAGCCATTAAAATAACAGTAGTAATTTTCTTCCCTGTCTGACTCTCTCCCCATTCTCTCTGCCAATCCCATCCTGATAATCTGCCTCTGTATTGCTCTCCTTGCTCCTTCAGCCCCCTGCCCCCTCCACACTCTCTCCTTCTGTTTCTATCACAATCCTCTTCCAACTCACATTTTCCGTTTTGCACTCCATCTGTGGCCTCTCCACAGTTTGCTTCCGTGCCTCTCCAAGTTTTCCTTCTCCCAAACCCCCAGAAGCACTAAGAAGAGGTGGATTTATTCACTACAGGCTGCCTCACAGCCACTTGTAAAAGCTATGGGAAAACAGTACCCATCTTATCTAGTGTACACCAACACTAGGTGGCCATTTTTAATATGGGAGGTAAAATTATATTTTAAACACAAGTGCTTATGAGAACATGAACAGCTTTAAACAACACCTAAAATAGTGATGCTTATAGTATCATGAAAAAAATGGGAAATTTGTAATTACTTTGTACAAGGGAAGAAGTAAGTAGTCTGTTGGTCACAAACCTTTTGTGCACAAACAGTTTATCACTCACAATATTACTTAAATTGACTGGTAATGATTTAATAATTGGCAGAAGAGCCATAAAAATGATAATGTTCAATGGGAGTATAAATTGAAATTTGCACATTGCCTTTAAAAAAATCACTCTTTCAAAAGACTGACATGCAACATATATAGATAATTTAATGTAGCTCTTCAAATGAAGTTGAAGTGCTCACATAAAGGATCAACTAGTCTTAGCATCTGACATTCCTCTATAGCATGCAGTGACCCCCGCCACACTTGTTTTCTACCCCACATGCAGTAATGTTTCCTTGAAATTTTCTCTCGCCTCCCTGCATCCTTCACTTAGTCTAGAATAATACAAAGTCATTTAAAACTCTTTTTAGATTTCCAGGCTTGTCCCATGCCTTCCAAAAGGGATTTATGAATTGCTTATCTTTCTTCCCTAATATTGTAGGAAATGATACCATAAATATAAGCCTTGAAAATATTGTACATTAATTTTCTACTTGTACTGTATTTGATTTGAGGAATAACCATTCTTGCCTGATTCTGTTTTACTTGCTTTCAGGTAACATTGCTTTCCTTCCTAATTGAAACAGAAGTTTCATTCCTCGACTATATTAAAGGCGGGTAAGTGATCCCTGCAAACTTTTCTTGTTTTCCTGTTTTCATTATAATTCACTAATAACCTGTTTACATTCTTGATAAGTGATAGTTCTAAATATCCATAAGAATTGCATTACTTTTTTCATTTTAGGGAGTAAACTTCCTTATTGAGAAAAGAAATACCTAACTACATAAGAAAGTTATGTTTTGTTTTGGTAGGGTTTTGTTTTGTTTATTAAATGTACTTATATCTGTGTTTGTATTCACGAAGTCAATGCTGAGTAAGTGTACCTTCCACTTGGAGTAGAAGGTGGTAAGGTTCGTGATGGTTTATAGTTTCTGTGGAAGTTCATTCCACAGCCTTGGGGCTGGCCCTCAGAAAGGGCTATCTCAGACACACACGAGTTCCATTGTGCCTGAAGAGTAGAGTTGTTGATCATGGTCCTCACCCTGGAGTTTTAGGCAATCTTTTAGGTATCCCGGAATTAGACCATTGAAGTAGCTTGCTTATTAACTAATTTGAGAATGGATTGAAGGTGTAGTCCTATGTAAAATGCATTGCAGTGGTCCAATGTCAAGGTGACAAAGGCATGGATAACCATGGTGAGGTCAACATTAAAAAGGCCAAATAAATAATGAGATGCACTTAACAACAATTGAGCATTAGGAGCAATTTAAGATACTACAAAACATTCCTTCTCCTCCCTCCCCTCGCTCCCAACATTAGAACCAATTCTCACTGTCTCATTTAGTTGTTTCCCCCAGTCTTTTAGGCCTAAGGCATAACCTGTCTTGTCTGGATGGAATTTCAATTGCCTATCCTTAATCCATGCCCTGTCTTACTAGACACTGTGTAACCTGTTACCAATATCTTGGCAAAGTCAGAAGAAGCAGAAATATAAAAGTGTGTGCTGTCTATGTGGAGACCCCACTCCACAAGTTTAATAACAGTGCAATGAAAGCTGGCCCTTGTCCCAAAGTCCTGATTGGCATGGCATGAACAAACAGGAGAAACTGGGGCTCCATCTCCACAGAGCTCTTGTTAGATAAAGAGATGGCAGGAAATCCCACTCCAACTTGTTGCAACCTCTCTTGAGAAGAAGGGATGGCAGCAGTGGCAGAGAATGGACATGCAGCTGCCTCTGCTGCAGGGACATGGCAGGCTGAGAGTCTGAATCCTGTGATAGAGTACAGGCCCCAAAGGCTCCTTAGCATTTTGCCTCTGTGAAACTTCACCATGCTACACATGAGGATCAGCCAGAGCCTAAAGTAAGGAGAACCCTAATCAGTGGCTGATGCTCGGGGAGATGACATTGGGGCTGTCTTACTGATCGAGCTGAATGTTTGTTTGTTACTGATAAAGGTGTTGGGAGTGATTTCTTGATGAATTTCTGCCTCCTCAAAGGGAGGGTTCTCGACTCCAAAGCAATTTTGGAAGTCATTACTAGAAAATACAGCCCTACCCCGTCAGTTTCCTGAACGCATCGCAACCCATAGTTCTTCACTACCCACTCCCAAATGGTCCTATTCAGACCTTGAACAAGAGGATGATGAAACAGAACATCTGAAAACTCATGAGATAGCCCTTGAAGCAGATTAGCAATTCCTCAATGCTACCCTTTAAGATTTCCAAGAAAAAAAAGGAAACCAAAGCTCTTAAGCAACTCTGTCGACTTCTGCTTTCCTCAGACATGTTAGCTATGGCTTGTAGTCAATGATATTAAAGGCAGCTGTTCTATAGACATAGGTATAGATTATTTTTTTAAAGGATACCTGGAGTGAAATCCTGGACCTATAGAAATCATTTGGAAAACTCCCATTGATTTCACTGGGTCCAGGAATTCACACTGATCATTGTTGTTAGGAGGAGAATGTTGACCAACATCACTTTTGAACGGATTTAGTATCTTTCTTTACTGGAGTCACTGATACTGGGATCAAGACAAGTTGCATTTAAACATCTCTTTTTCTCTGTTATGTGGTAAGACTTGCATTTTTTAGAATTATCCCAGAATGCATTTAAAAAAAATCTTGTGTAACAAAAAGAATGAGTAAAAGCCATTCATTTAATATATTACACATATATATTGAAAGTGTCCAGCATATCATAAAATGCAAGCTGTGAATACAAGTGATTCTTAGTTACCATTATCAATATCTTACATATTTTTCTGTAAACTGAAATAAAAAATCATTTGTACAGTTCTTGACATTAGTAACTTTCATTTATAATTTTCTTTTTCCACATTGTACTATAAACAGAACAGGGTACAATTTAGTAGGATGTTCTACCTGTCTAAAAATATCAACAGCAATATGTGTCATTTACTTTTTTATTCAAAATATTTTTCATTTTGTTAGTGATTTTATACTATCACTTATAAATTCATGCCAGTAAAAACAGACAGGATTTTGAGAAAAAGAACTCTTTAAAAAATGCATACAATATTATTCTTTTCAGATATGACATGCAACATGTTGTCTGAGGATCAGGAATCAGAATTATTTTCTTCGCTATCTCTTCCTTCCCTTACCCAACACAGTTTCATGGCATTTAATCTTTACTCCAGTAGGCATTTTTTTCCTCATTAGTCACTTTGCCCCTATCTATAATATGTCTCCAAATTGTAATTCTTCAGTTTCATGTTGTTTCCTTTAGCTAGCCCAGGGTGATTCTGCACAAATGCAATATTGGCCTTTTTAGAAATAAACATCTATGCAATGCAGCATGTTGAAAATGTTTATGATAATTGATTGGAGGTGGTTGGGACTAACATTAATGAAATACTTGGCAGCTCTTAACTATAACAAATGGGGACTACAGTATTAAGTTCCTGGTTTCATTAAATTATGTTTTGAGCTCTGCTTCTTTTAAAAAGTCTGACTGGATGTGCCATTCTAGGTATCATCAATATTGTCTTTGTAAAGATGTTTGGATGAGATACTATTCCTCCAATGGCTTGCGATTTTAATTCTTTTATTCTGAGTTATACTTAGTGTTGGATTTTCAATGTACTTGGGTGTAAGGGATCTCTCTATTTATCTGAAGTGACATATCTGCCTAACTGGATTTATGTACTGCCATCAAGTATTGATATTAAATCAGCCACTACATCACACAGTGTTTCCCACATTTAAATAGGTATAGTATACTAGAAATTAACATCTCATCTTTCCATTCAGTAATTAGCAATACACATTCTCATCAGAAAAGTTTCAGAAGTTGTAAATAGCACTTGAAGTGCAGACCTGATGAAGAGCTGTATAAGCTCAAAATCTTCTCTCTCACCAACAGAAGTTGGTCCAATAAAAGATATTACCTCATCCACCTTGTGTTTCAAATATCCTGGGACCAGCATGGCTACAACAACACTGTATATTTGAAATACAGGCAGAGTAGCCAGGGGATTGAGGTGTGATTGATGTACCCTAGCGCCCCAGTAATCTCTGGCTACAGGAATGCCCCTGGGGGCTGTTGGCAATTGGCATGAAATAGAACAGCCTTGAGACTACTCCAATTTATGCAGGGAACAAACCAGCAGCCAGTTAGAAGGTCCAAAGGGTGCTTTTGTGTTGAAGTCTTTAGGTCTTATGGCTGTAAAGATGTGAAGACAAATATAAATTGATGTTGTGATATGTCTGAGACTGGAAACAGCTTAGAGAAATGAACAACCATGTTCATCTTATTGGATGTTAACCTTGAAGCTTAATGATGATGTGTTAAATATGGGCACTGTTACCTATTTCACAGTTGATCATTTACAGAAAAATCAATGTGCTCCATCTTTAGATTAGTAGTATTTATTGGAATGGGGTGTACAGTAGAGCAACTGCTTGCTGTTGAAATTTGCTGGCATGAGAAATGAGGAATTCAGTCCCCTTCCCACCACAAAATGTAAAGTCATATTTGGCTCTGCCAAAAGTGGGGGAGGATAGAAAGAGATGCTTTCCTTCCCAATACAACAGATGGACATCCACACTTTATTTAGATGCTAAAAGCCCTCTCTATTCACTGTACTAATCACAATGTATTGGATGATGTGCATAAAGCGAGGGGACAAGGGCTTGTGTGCAACAGCCACTTAATTATGAAATTTTAGCCACATAATTCTGGTGTGCCCCTGGAACCTTGGGGTATAACTGGGAAAATGAGATAAAACTGAGAGAGAGAAAATATAGAGTTCACATATGGAAAAACTTCCTGATGGTGATATTGTATTTAACTATGTAGGAGTCTCCAAAGAGAAGTGATGGAAGTCCTGTTACATGGGACTTCCATGACTAGACAGGACAAAGCACAAAATGCACAGGCTGAAGGAAACAATCCTGCACCAACAAAGAGATTGACTGGATAATCTAATAGGTCTTTCCTTCTTCTAAATTCTAAGATTCTATTATCCAGTTATCATACATATAATGTGTTAAAATCAAGGGAGTTGGGGGGGTGGGGGGGGGAAGGAAACAAATACATTGTTTCAAAAGGGAAAAAAATCAAAATCTATGAAGCATCAAAATCTTTATAAAGTTTCAAATATTGAACATGGGTAATTGTCATATGAGAATTTCAGTTGTGTGTATATAATTATTACAGAATTGCAAAATCTTAAACTATTTGTTTGCAATCTCAACATTTCAGTTTACAGTAAGGCTTTAAACATAATGTTGGAAACTTTGCCTTAAGGGTGAGCAGTTAGCTGAATTAGACAGTATCATTTCAAACTCTTCTATAAAGCATGACGATCTTTTTATATATTAAAAAAATTACTCTCATCCACAGATCATTTGAAAAGTAGTAAGATTGTAGTGTTCATGTACATATGTAATCCTACCTATAATAAATCATGTATCTCCTTGCTCTCTCTTCTGTCCACTCCAATCAAAAACATGTTTCCTAGACATTTCTTTACAATACATAATTTAGATCAGAAGACTGGGGTTAATATTGCAAACAATATATGAAAGAATAAACAGTCCTAGCTCAAACATCTGAGTACAGCTATTTCACGTTGTGTGTGAATGTATTA